GGGAGAAATGTGGGATTCACATATAAATCAAGTATAAAAATCAAACGAATATTCATATTTGACCTGATTGTTTATAGTTCATAATGTGTGATCAAAACCAAAAGTTTCTGTGATGACTGCCCTTGCACTGTTCACCGTGTAAGAACTTATTCACTGTGTAAGAATCTGTTCACCATGTAAGAACTTTTTCGTTATGCTTCAGAAGATTGGAGACTGACAAGAATTAGGCTTGAGATGGATTAATGATTGTACATTGAGCATTGACTTCCCTATACAGAATTTTATTGTTGTTAACAACCATTTGATCAATAAATATGAGAGACGCCCTCTCAAAAAAAAAAAAAACACACAGAAGAAAAAGGAAGTTGACTTTTCAAAACCCATCTCAGCACTTTACTTCAGGCCTCCTGTTGGCTGCAGGTGCAACTTAAAGCCATCTGACCAACAGATGTCACTGTTACACTTTTACTTTGAGCACATCTCAAGATAATACAACTTCACTTTTAAAGTAGGGGTAACAAAAACAATAACAAATTTCCATTCCACCTCATGAAGCGTTGTAGATTTTTCCTCTCTCAGCTTCATTCCAAACATCCTTTTACAATAATTGGAATGTCCAATGCTTTTCTAAAAGGACATATGGTGACTGTTTTTATGATTATGAAAAGTGCAAGATTCCTCTACTGTTGCTTGCGTGAGAAAATTGCCTCACATATGAATATTTACAGCCCTGACCCATACTCATCAAACATGTGCTTCCAGGCCTGAAAATAATGAATTGGAAGGCATTTAAAGAAATCAGGGGCACAAGACTGTCCATAGTCATTAAAGTTAATGGCAAAAAAAAAGTGCTTGTTGGATTCCTAATACTCACCCCCATTTCTGAAAGGAAACTGAGAGGTGAGGGTGGTAACAATCCTGACAGTCCAGTCAGTCTTTTCAGGTCAGCTACAATGTGGAAATGGGTTGTGAAGGATAATCAATGCTTCTGTCAGTAAGTACATGAATGAGAAAGGAGAAGCTTGTTTTTTAAATGGTTCGTCCTATATTCCATACATTTACTGCCAACCAGCTCACCTGTTACTTAAGCAGCTGAAGGGAAAGAAAGGGTGAGGAATATGTGAGGAAGACAGGCTATTTAGATTTCACTGAAGATTCCAGAGTATAGCAATTGGCTAACACAAATTTTTAGAAAAATTATTATTAAGGGGTGGCTGGCAACAGATAGGTACTCCCACAGTAAGCTTTTAGGCAGTAAAGCTGATGTGAACACAGTACTCTGAAAACGTTCAGATTAATTGTAAGCACAGTCACAAATTTCAGATCACTGACATATATGTGTTTTTTGAAAACCATTGATTAAACTTTGGACAATGATGCCCACACAAAATGCAGCTTCAGCAGCTTTACAAACACAATTTACATTAAATGCATATTAAACGAGCCTCTGTTGACTGCAAAGAATCATAGAAAGCATGAAGATTTCTACTTACATGGAGATCCAAGTACAATTCACTTCTGTTTGGCTTTTCTTTCTCCTCGTGCAGCAGAAATGGACAGGCTGGGCCTGTTCTATAGCCCAGGACCCAGGTACCTCCATCCCTGTTGGGAAGGTCTTTTGCTGCTGTCTGCTCACTGAAGCAGTCCCAGGGAAAGCCTTCAGAGGAGATGTCTAGACAGAAAATAGGATGCCCATCAGTGACACAGTGGCCAGACAAACATCAAGCCAGCAAGATTTGGAGACTCCTCCATGGGCTACTTCACACTACCTCTTACTTGCCTTTCTAGCTTATATTTTTAGAGTTCCTTTCCTCCAAAAGTGCATCTCTTGATCACTCTTTCTAGGTCACACTCATGAAGAATTAAAACATATACCCACCTACCCAATTTAAAAAGATAAGCCTATTAGCTATACTCTCTGCTCCCTATTCTTGCCTACCAATCCAGGCTATTCAGATCATTCTCTTTCAGAAGAAAACCAGAGAGTGAGTTGCAGGGCAGAAGTTGGAAGGCTTGGCTTGCTGGCTTTACTAGAAAAAGGTGTCACCTGAGCCAAGTTGCCAGTGCGTGACATTTGGGTCAGGAACTGAGCCATGTTCATCTTCATTTCTGGGGATAGAATCATCATGTAAGGTGCATATCGGCACTTGGTGAGTTTGTTGATTGAGTGACACTGCACAAGTGAACTATTTGGGACTCACTTTGCTCATCTCTAGAATGAGGGTTTTAGGCTTAACTGATAGGACAGTTAAGTGTATGCCAGACACTGTTCTTAGCCCTGTTCTTTGATTTTAAAAATAACTCTATAGGTAGGCTTCAACAGTGTTCCCATTTTGAAAAAGGAAACTGAAGCACAGAGGTTAAGCAATTTGCTCAAAATCATAAAGTTGGTAAGTGGTAAAGCCAGGAATTGACCCAGGCAGAACAATACCAGAGGCTATGCTCCTAATGACTAGATTATATGACTTCTGCCTGACATTTTTAAGATGGCAACATGTGTTCTAAAATGACTTTGTGGTCAAATAAGTGTGAGAAAAGCTGCATGCTATATTCCTAGGAGCCACAATTCATGTTAACATATCAAAGACCTTGATACATGCTTTAGTGAAGAAAGTTACCTCTGTATAATAGTGTTCCAACCTTATTTGACCAAAGAATCCATTTAAAGGGACACCTGTTAAATATGTTGCAAGCCTCTGGTGTTCCCCTGGAACAGAAAACACTAGGCTAGGTCACCTTTAAAGTCCCATAGAGCTCTCAAGTTCCTAGGCCTCTTTCAATTCCTGGTAAGCAAACTTGGCAACATATCAAGCAACCAGGCAGAAGTTAAGGGGGCTGCTCAGTCTGCTTTTGCAATAGATATCACTGTTGGATATATGATAGGGTATTTATTACACATAATCCTTGTAAGAGTGTCTCTTTGGCAGTGACCCAAAGTCAGCCAATGACTTCTGCCATGAAAAAAACCTGACTTACCAGTAACTTGAGTTGAGGATAAGTCAGCTAACAAAAGGACCATGTGATAACATACTTCTCCTTTATATTAGAGTAACATTTCAGAGGAAAGAAAATTTGAAAACAGCCAAGGTTTTGCTTTTTGTTTGCTTATTTGGGTGGTTAGTTTCCAATCACACTTGGAAGTGAAAGGTGACAAAGGTCACAGTGTCGCTACGGTTGCCCTCTGGTGGGCTGTCCATAAAACACCTTTCTGTGGCCACAGAGAAAATGAGGGTCCAGAGCCTCAGACTCTACTCTGTAGACACAGGGTGTCCAGAAGGTTATAATCAGGCTCTTCGTGCAAGTGAGCTAGAAATCTTAGAGCAAGGGCCTTTGTAGTCACCTGGCTTCACCTTTCCCATATGCCCTTTGCTACCTACTCTTTCCAGACAGACCTTCTCCTGGGATATTGTGTAGGGCCTCATGTACTTCTGAGTGTCCTCCTTCCACTCAGAAGCACAGCAAAGTGCCTCATAGAGGAGGCTCCCTGCTAAGCACCTCTACTTTATCCTCACGGGGTCCTCAAGAGGAAGGCAGGGCTGGCCACACTTCAATAGATGAAGAGATTTAAAGCTCAGACCCTTTAAACTTCCATTTATAAGGTTCATCTTCTTCCTAGAATATTTCTGCTTTCATATTTGGCAGGAAAAGAGGAAATAAACCTTTTCAAATTTATGATATAGTTTCACTGTGCTTCCTAATCTTCAGACATGTGTTAATTACTAATCATGCCTCTCATTTTATATCCCTCACTTTTCACCTTTATTTTGGTATAATAGCTCTATTGCTGGCATTGGGTAAAGTTTACACAAGTTAATAAAACAACATTAAACATATACAATACAGAGAACATAATGTACAACACCTAAGGTAAGACTTCTGTATCATCAAAGGCACACTGTCTGGTGGCTAGGTCATCATTTAGGCATAGGAGAGTGGTAAATCCCGACAATAATGAAGATCGGGGTGCACTTAAAATACAGCTGTACATGCAAACACATTTATCCCACAGGGGTGGTCCCACATTGCATTAATGAGTAACAAGGTATGGAGTGTAATCCAATTCACTCTTTATGCAAAAGAAAGACAACATAAAGTTTAGGCAGAAATAATGAAAAGTAACTTTATTTTGGAAATAATTTTACTTTTAAAGACCAAATTTCTAATACCTAATGTTTAACCAGATAATATCCCCATGAAGGAAACATGCAAGGTAAAACAGTGAGGCATGATGATTTTGGTGAGGATCATTATGAGAAAAGGAACAGGACAGAAATAAGTAACAAAACTTATTCTCACAAGTCTGACAAAGTAAGTCAGGACACAGGACATATTCACCATTAGAAAGGACATAACAAGTTAGAAAAGTAAGCCTTTGAATGGAGAGTTAATATCAACACAAGTTTTTTGAGCAGTCAAAAATACAGCACATGCCTATATTTATTAAAATAGGTAGTGGCCACACTACTTTCTTCAACCGAATAAGTTTAATAAAGAGAGAAAAAAAATTACATGAAATTAGGTAAGTATATTCTGTCAAAATAGTTAATGCCATTTAATTTTCTGATGCAAATGGATTTTGAGGTGTTAGATTTTCATTAAACATTTTGTGAAAAGCTTAAAACAGTCTTAACAATCACGTCTTTCCCTTTCATGTGCATATTAGAAATCTGTTTTTTATTCAGTATTTATTGGTTATTTTGTTTCTCAAAGACATTTCAACAACTTGATGGACCACACATACACACACAGGTTAATTGTACAGCTGACCACCATTAATAGAACATACAGCACGGCCACAGTACAGGAAGGGGAACTTACCTTGGGACCACTTTGAAAGTCTGTGCTTTTCCCAACCATTCAATGATGAGCTGCATTTCCTGATGCTAACCTACAATATCAGACTGGGGTTTTGCTGTCAGTTATCAATACAATGGAAGCAGACAGAAAAAAAAAGGTAATATATCATTTAAAACTAGAGCAGTCTCCACAGCTCATTTCTCCAGAATGGATCGTCTCCCTGCCTGAGGTACATTGGGTTTTTGTTCCCACTTCTCTGCTCCCCCCTTGCATTATGATTAAGCATGAAAAGCCTTTGGTTGCCTTTGCAGCTCCTCCCATGGGCACAGATTCCCCCGGGTCCACAGATGTTGGGCCTGACCCTGTGACTTGCTTTGGCCAATTAAATGTGGGCAATGTGACATTGTGCCAATGCTGAGCCAAGGCCTTAAGAGGCATTATGTGTTTTTACAACCAGTTCTGTGTTTCTGCCACCACCAGGAGACGCGCATGTCCCGGGGAGCCTGAAATCAGACACATGGAACAGACCCCGTACAGTCCTGCTGCCTGGAGCCAAATGCAGCTGAATCCAGATCAGATCAAGTGAATCTTAGCCAACTCTTAGGTCAATGAATGAGAGCAATGAATATTTGCTGTGAGCCATTAAGATTTGGGGTTTACTTATTGAAATAGCACCTAATATACTCTCTTATCATCTGTTGCCACCAGAAGCACTGTACCAATAAAAAACTTTAAACCATGACAGCTGAGAGGCCTTAAAGACTACAATATTTTTAGTTTGTATTTGTAGTAAAAACAATTATCCAATGTTTCAGATTTCAAAAAATTAAGCAAAAACTCATGAAAGACCCATTTATACGAAGACCCACACACAAACTACATTTCATTTAAAAAAAGTTAAACTATTTATCAGGCATTGCCTTTAATTATCTAGAATATATAACATCTAGTATTATCTATGCATATAAATGCCCACCTCCACAGAGAAGTTTGCAAACATACTATATAATCAAATCTGGAAAAAAGCTCCTAAGGAGGAAAATTACAGGGCCTTTCCGCCTTTCTCCTCTAATTTTCCATCATACTGAGCCTTCACTTGACAGCAGTGATGAAGTGGTTACACCTACAAAAGGAGAAGAGGAAGAAAAAATCCTCAGCATGAAACTCTCATGTGTTTTTTGCTCCTGGGCCATAGGTTCCAAAGCCATCCATCATATTTGACTTAAAATAAATCCAAAGAGGTGAAGCTTTCTCAACTGTGATCATGAGAACTGATATGTGAAGATAGACAGGTTGTCTTCCGTTATGTTATTCAAACATGTGCTTACAAGCAAGAGAAACAGCAATCTAGATGTGTGTAGCTAATGGAAGGTGATGTTGTTAAGTACTTATGAAGAGGGTGTGTGCCTTTGTGCAATTATTCATGTCTATATCTGGCAAGACAGAGCTTTGGCAAAAGTATAGTCTCATGGCTGGTATCCGTCAATTAGAGGTTAACATTTGCCAATCCCACTGCCCCCATTTTCATTCCTTGGGATGTTAAATGATAATGGCGTCACTAAACCCTAAATCAGCCAGGTAGATATAAGTCCGAGAAAGCATCTTATCTATCCATCTCAGCCTCTAACTCTCCCCATGAGAGGTACATGGGGAGAAAAATTATGAGCAAGGACAGAAAGGTGAAGGTGTACAGAGGCAAGGGAAGAGGCTATGGGTAAATCAGGAAATAGAAGGACTGAAGAAGGCTATGTGCAATTCAGGGTGTATGAGGAAAGCATCCATATTGACTAAACAAATGCAGTGCTGTTTGGATTTCTGAAACTATGTTTACATTTAAATCAAAGGAAATAGAATTTAGAGTTAGAAGGGATCTTG